ATAATGAGGGACCCGGGTGAACCTTGTAGAGAGCTGGTCCCACTCCATCCCTAATTCCTAATAATAGTAGTAATCATAGTAAAAATAGTAGCAATAGTAGTAGTAATAGCAATAACAGCAATAGTAGTAGTATTAGCAGCAGAAGCAAGAATAAGAATAAGAATAAGAATAAGAATAAGAATAAGAATAAGAATAAGAATAAGAATAGCAACAATGATGAAGGCAGGGAAGGCTTCAGAGGGAGGAGATAGAGGTAGGTGGAGGTTGTGGCATCTTTTCGCCTTGGTGATGGGCAGCCAAGGGAGTACCAGGGAGTACCCAGGGAGTACCAAGGGGGTCCCAAGGGGATACCAGGATCTACGTGGTGGATGTTGAGAGGTTTGGGTGGGCTGCTCTGTGACTTTCATTCCTGAAAGTCCCTCCGAATCCTTGCGCTGGGAGAATGGCCACTTCCCTGCCGAATCACCGCTACCGCTCTCCTGTTGCAGTGAAAAGCGAGGATGAAGACGGCAGCCACTCGCACGGCAAAGGCGGCGAGGACAGCAAAGACCACAAGCGCTCCAAGCGGCCGCGCACCATCCTCACCACGCAGCAGCGCCGGGCCTTCAAGGCTTCCTTCGAGGTTTCCTCAAAGCCTTGCAGAAAGGTATAAGGAGGCCAAAACTGCTGGCTCGGACCCCTTTATTTAAGTGTGACTCGAGTTCTGATTCAGCTCTCTGGGTTTTTGTGGACAGGTAAGAGAAACCCTGGCAGCCGAGACGGGCTTGACCGTGCGAGTGGTACAGGTCTGGTTCCAGAACCAAAGAGCCAAGGTGAGTGATGGTTCCTGTGCCACAGCACCCATAGGATATCACACACGCTCGTTCAGTTGAAAGGAAAGCGTGGAATAGCTTAGAAAAAGAGAAAATGGGTAGAAGAAGGGAAAAACAGCTACGCAGGACCATCCACAGGTCCACCTAGTCCCAAAATGTGCACCTAAAAGTTGCAAAACCTTCAAGAGGAATACAAAAATTGATTTGTTATAGATGTTTGCAGGGCTTAACACTTTTCATGTTGGTTTTTTGGGAGGAGATGACTCTTTTTCTACTTGCTTTTCCCCCTCGCTATAGACTGAAGGCTTTCCCACTTCTTCTAGAAGTTGGACTCGATGATCTTAAAGATCTTTTCCAACCAAAACCATTCTATGAAGCTGAAACACTTCTCATTTTGCAGAACTTAAAGGGTGAAAACAGCAAATTCGCGGCTTTGAAAACCTCGCCTTGTTGTAAAACAAAGTCCTTTGGTTTTTAAGCTGCAGACAGCATCTCCCACAAAGACAACACATTTTTTGTCAGCCCACAGGGATGAGTGCAGGGGAGCGAAATGCAGGCAGCGTTGTTAAGTTTAACACAACCCATTCCCCTCCTCTCCTAGTCTGAACCTCAAACTGGGGGTCTCCGTCTCCTTGCAGATGAAGAAGATCGCTCGCAGGCAACAGCAGCAGCAGCAGCAACAGCAGGAGCAAGACCAGTTGGGCAACCCTCGCTTAGGGACCGGGAGAGGGACCGGGCGCAACAGCCGGCAGAGCAACGATGACAGCGAAGGTGAGGAGCTGCTGTGTGCGGCTTTGGGGGCCGCAGGATGGGATGGAGGGGATGGATTTGGGAGAGAATGGGCATAGGAAGAGGTCAGCAAAAACCACAACGGTTGTAAGTGAATTTAGGGAAGGTTTAGATTGGATATGTGGAAAAATTTCTTTACTGAAGGAGTGGCCAAGCACTGGAAGGGGCTGCCCAGGGTCGTGGTGGAGTCACCATCTCTGGAAGTGTTCAAAAGATGTGTGGATGTGGCACTTGGGGACAAGGTTTAGTGGCCATGCTGGGGCTGGGTTGACTTGGACTTGATGATCTTAGAGGGCTTTTCCAACCTTAATGACCCTGTGATCCATGGGACCAAGGTTTAGTGGCCATGGTGGGGCTGGGTTGACTTGGACTTGATCTCAGAGGGCTTTTCCAACCTTAATGACCCTGTGATCCATTGAGGCCAAGGTTTAGTGGGCATGGGGGTGTTGGGTTGACTTGGACTTGATGATCTCAGAGGGCTTTTCCAACCTTAATGACTCTGATCCACTGGGACATGGTTTAGTGGGCATGGGGGTGTTGGTTTGATTTGGACTTGATGATCTCAGAGGGCTTTTCCAACCTTAATGACCCTGTGATCCATTGAGACCAAGGTTTAGTGGTCATGGTGGGACTGGGTTGGCCTGGACTTGATGATCTTAGAGGGCTTTTCCAACCTTAATGACCCTGTGATCCATTGAGACCAAGGTTTAGTGGTCATGGTGGGACTGGGTTGGCCTGGACTTGATGATCTTAGAGGGCTTTTCCAACCTTAATGATTCAGTGAATCAGAGATGGGGGTAACTGCAAGCAGGAAGAGCTAGGGAACGTTCAGCGAGACTCGTGGCTGCTGGTGACACAGCACAAATCTCCTCTTTTTGAGAAGACAATGGGGATTTTTACGCACAGAGCCCAATACTGGTCCCGAGTTCAACCCCCAAATATCACTGGTTGTGTCTTTAGACGGCGCCAGCGTTCACGGCCTGGATGGGCTCATGGTCCCCTACCCCAGGATCCCCCAGCAGCAGCTGCTGCCCCTGGAGCAGAACGGCTACAGCACGGATTTGTACCGACAAGGGCTGACGCCGCCTCAGCTGCCCGGAGACCACCTGCACCCCTACGGTAGGACGATTGCCCCGTCTCCACGTCAAAGCCACCTGTAGCAGACAAAAAACCAACAGCAGCGAGCACTTCCTGGGGCTTGGACTTCATGTCGAGCCTTTCTGAGAAGTTTGGTGAGGGCAGAGACTCAGGTTGAGCTCTGCCAGGGGCCAGGGAGCGAGGCTGGGCTCTTCCCCCCAATCCCATGTGAAATATTTAGGTAAGGGAAGAAGCTGGCCAGCAGAATTATTCCATACCATAAATACCACACTCACTATAAACTGGGGACTTGGTTTGTCTTTCCTCGATGGTCTTTCCTCAATGGTATCCATCCCTGGAGGGTCTCACCCATCATTCTGCCCCCAAAGCCCACTCCCCTGCTCGTTGCAACCGCTATATCAGCTGAGTATAACTTTGTGTACTTTATATTGCCATCATAGTGCTATTAATAGTGTTTTTTATGATTATTTTATTAAATATGTTCCTATTTCAACACCACACTCATTCCCTTTTCCCTCCTTTCCTAGACTCGGAAGGCGTTTTCCACGACATGGACAGCGACAGCATCAGCCACCTGGGGGACTGCTTGCTCTCCACGGCCGAAGCCAACCTCCTCCAAGCCCGGGTGGGCAACCCCATCGACCGACTCTACTCCATGCAGAGCTCCTACTTCACGTCCTGACCATAAAAAAGCTCCCAGCTCTTCACGAGTATCGCGGGTGGACGCTGCTTCTGATTCAAAACAAAGATGAGGGGGGGAAAGAAACAAGGCCGAGACCTTCAGAGACATTCCCTGAGCACTGCACAACGGAGGAGGCAATGAGGTCCACCACCTAATTAAGCACTAATTAATTCCTGGAGACCTTTCACAGCCTGAAGGACTTTGGATCGCCTCTCTCCTTTTTTTCTAGCCACACGTAGATGGACGGTATGATGTTGTTTAGCTGTAACGTTAGCAGTTTGTCCGGTGTTTAAGCTTTTTGAGCATTATGTCCTGCAAAGAAAGACTGGCCGAGCTCAGCAGAGCTGCCCCTAGAAGTAGGAGGTGCCCTTCCCACAAAAACTCAGTTTATTTAAGACTTGGTCGCAGCTGAGCTGCTCTCTGTGCTGTTTTGTCTCATTTCCCAATCCGGATGCAGGCTTCAATGGGACAAAGTCAATTTTCCACCATAAAACCCGAGGTCCTGAGGCATCTCTAGGGGATGCCACTGCTGCTTCAGAGATTTTCCACGTGGTGGTTGATCCGTTGGCCCAGGACAGGTTTCTTAATGTTTGACGTTTCGGAAAATGCAGTGATTTAAGGGCAACTCAGGGGCGACATCAGGACTCGGCTGAGAGAAACGCACGTCTCCATCGCGGATCAAAAGGGATAATCCGGTTTCTCTACCCATCGTCGTGCCACGAGGCGGGCGAGTTATGAGAAGCAGGTGGGCACTGGTGTGTGTACCCACAAAAAGGGCAAGAAAAAGAGAGCAAGGAGTGGAAATCTGAGTTATTACCAAAGGGAAATGCTTCATTTTCCTGCCTAGGACCCACGTCTGGGATTTGGTTCTTTTCACACGCGCAGGACAGGCGGTTTTCCTGGAAAAGTGAGGTTTTCCCATGAGCCTGCTCACAGCGCGCCAGCTGAAGGAATCCCGTCCTCCAGAACCACCCTTTCCTCCTCTGTTTGAGCTGAACAACTGGCAGACATCTCCACGCGGAAATATCCACTTATTTGTAAATCTCCAGCGCCGCGAGGCAGGCGGTGCAACCCGAGAACCTGGCTGGCTGCTGTTTCTGCGGGTGGCGTTCGATTTCGGTCGGATTTGAAAGGTGTGCAGCCTCTCAAAACCGGAAAAGGAAAGGAAAAGTTCATTTCTGTTGCCTGCAGTTACAGAGGAAGAGCCCCGGAAATGACACGATCCAGGATTTGGGGATGAAAGGAGATGAAGTCCTGTGGCTTTTGGCTTTTTGTCAGGACTTTTTCACCTTCTTGACTCTCGAACTGACATAAAGAACGAGCTGAAACACAACCACAGCCCTTATAAAGATCGCTCCACCGTTGCTTCACTTCTAATAAAGCTGTGTGAACGCAACACGTGCCGATGTGCAGTCACTTCCCGTGGCGTTCGCAGTGCCAGGCTCTGGAGCCGGACTTCTCTTTGCTCTGTCAATGTCTCTCCCCAAAAAGCAGCCGTGTACATAGTTTACAAACACTTTAACATTTATTTTGACGAGGGGAAGGGGGAGCCGTTCGCAGAAACAGGTATTTATGACGTGTTTGCCCAAGGTCTAGCCCAAACTGCTGCAGCTGGTTGGCTTCCACCAGCTGTACGTGACTTTTAGAGGCTCTTGCACTAAGGAGGGTCTTGGTTTAGATCAAATTTTAAGAGATTGTTACAGTGAACTCTGTGCAAATCGATGTTTCTCCCAAATACCAGAGCCGGCTTCACCCCCTTCTCTTCCTTGTGATCCAGTGCTGTGATGTGCCGATGGTTTTTTTTTTTTAATTATTAATTTTTGCATGTACATTTGAAAATAAATTTTAAAACCCAAGTCAAAGTGGAAATCCGAAGCTTCCCTCGGTGTAGTCAGCCAAACCGCACACACCAGCAGTCCCACAAAGGTTGGCCTGGGCTCCTCAGGACGGCTCAGCCCTTGGCTTTCCCAGAAAACTGGGTATCCTGGAGCAAAGGAGCAACAGGGCCGTGGGTGCTCCCTGATTTGGAGTCCGGATTCTGCCTGAAATGGGCAGAAATCAGAGAGGTGGACACCAGCACCAGGGCTGACAGAGCCTCAGAGAGATCAGGCTTGGCCGGTGATTCTCTCTGCTTCATTTAGCAAAGGGTAAGAGCTGGTAGCCAGCAGGTATCCGAGTTCAGCAACTGCAGGGCATCTCTTCCCAACCCTTTCTTGCAGCTGGAAACCCTCTTGGAGTGACCAGAGACAGCGACAGGAGGCAGAAGTAGCTTTGTGGAAGGGATCTGACCCTTTGGCAATGTGGGGGTATCACTGTGCACCCCAAAACACCTACGGATGTCAGTGAATTCGGTCTCTCTTGCTCTGCACGGGCAAGAAGCTCCCATCGAAGCAGGGAGGCGCAGGTCCTTGGCTGTGATGCGCCGAGAAGGAGGGTTTGGGGCTGCCCGCTGCTCTCCGAAATGGGTGTTTCAATCCCAGCATCACAGGCAGGAGAAATAAAGGTCAATAAAAGCCAGTGGAGGTGACAGATCAACCGCGAGATGAAAAACGCTTCCCCCTCCTCTGCCCACACCATTTCCCTCGCGCTCACGAGCGACTCCGAAAAAATCCTGTGGATGCCAGCCAAGGAAAGCAGAATTGTGTGCGAGTGGAATGTGGCTCCGTGCCCTCCACAGTTGCCCGTTTCAGAGCCGGGTTTGCCAGCAGCACTAAATCTCTGGCGGTGACTGCGAACACCAAAGGAACATGCTGATTTATGGGTCCTTTAAGTAAGAGAAGCAGAGTGTAAAACGAGAGCATTTTCTGGATGAAAAATTAAAGAGGTGTTTGTGTTAGTTCCTCGTTCTAGGATCATGCGTAATTTACCTCGTTGGGTTTAAAGTTCCACTCGAAGGGAGAGGTGACATCAACAGGAGTGAAAGCAACAGCCTGAAAAAAAAAGCAGCCCTGACACACTTAACTTCACAGCCGGAGAGATCCAAACCGAGAGGAGATGGAGGAAAAACAAAGCAGAGAATTAACTGACCTAATGATCCTTGGCTTTCTCTTCGTTAAGGGCCTCAGAACTCCTTGCATGCATTAATTAATTATCCCTCATTACTCCCCAGCCAAGTAGGTGTTGTGTGTTTCAGAGACGAGTAAACGGAGACATAGAAGTAGCTTCCAAGGCCACACAGAAAGACAGTGGGTAAGTTCAAACAGAAAATAAACCAGTTTGCTCAACTACCAACCCAAATGCACGTTTGACCGAAAACAAAGAGGTCAGAATGAGTCAAAATTGAGAAAACCCAGAACCAGGAGACGGAAACCAAGCAAAGGAGAGAGGAACCAGAAGGGCTACGCTGACACAGAGAGATGCGGGTGAGCGAAGGGTCCTTTACAATAATTAAAGAGGAATAATAAAATAATTCGAGGCAAAGATGCCTGCACGAGTCTGACACCGCTTTCTTCACAGCTCTCAACCACCCTGGGTCTTTGGGTTCTTCTCCTTGGTGCTGCAGGGCTTCAGTGCTCATTTCTGGGCTGGGAGGAGGCGAGAGGACCGATCTTTCCGAATCCTGCTCTAAATCTGTTGGGTTTTTTTTCCCCTCCCACTCTGGGAAATGCAGGCTTATTCACTTATTGATCGCAGGCACTTGGCATTCATTTAGCTGAATCTCTCTGCAGCCTTTGGAGATGAAGCTGAAGCTCCCGGTTTGATTGACTGCCCGAGGACTTTTTCCCTTTTTCAGCTTTATGCCGATCCTACACTTGCATCCATGAACCCATCCTGATCGACCTGAGGTACGAGACACAATCCTGCGGTACAAGAAACTACAAGAATGCTTCCTGGGCTCCTAATTCTTGTTTAATTCACAGGTTTCCAGCTGCTACCACACCCCCCCAGCAGCCCTTCCCGTAGGTTTTTCGACGTCGGAAAGAGCCATCACTGCCATTAGGATTTTATTCCAGCGACCAGCAAGCACATGAACTCCTGCTCCGCGCTTCTCACTTACAAGAGGTCTTAGGCCCTGCTGCCTACGCGAGAATTAAACGGATTAATCATGCGGTACCGCGCGTAAAGCTGCAGGTTCCTTCAAGGTGAAGAGGGAAGCCAGAAAATATTCCCTTCTAGCACATCCAGTTGAAGGAAAGAAAATCGTCGGCATCCCTTTCACTTCTCACAAAGGAATCTGCCAAATTTGCCAAGTTGATTTCATCAAGAAACCTCTCCAAAGGAGCTGGGAAACTGAGGAAGGCAACGATTTCAGGTAGTGGCCATCACCCCAATATTTCCCTCCATGGGAGGGTTCTGTCCCTCTCAGCTACGCCAAATTCTTTCCCATTTACATTACACACGTAGCCAAAGCTGTACCTGCTTCATTCAGAATAAAACTTGCAGCTGCCTCGCTCAGACTGTCTCAGAAAGCGTTGATTTCCTCCATGGGAAGAGGATGGAGCAGCAAATTCCTCTTCCAGTGACAAATTAACTGAACACCAGGAGGGTTTGGCTGTGGATGACAACAGCAAGGACCTGGCAGCTCAGTGGTTAATGTGTTCAAGGAATAATAGAGCGGCTCAGGCTCCTGAGGAGGAGGAGGAGGAGGCATAACTGGGCTTAAGTGGGGGCCCAGTGCACCTTACACATAATGAAAAATGGCTTTTCTGCTGCCAGGCTGACATTTCAATACAGTGTCAACAACATGTAAAGCACCTTCGCTCCCGTCCTTAATAAAGCTATTCACACCGCAGACGATTCTGACTAATGGGGTGCTGCCTGGTGTAAATAAAACCCCAAAAAAGACTCACAGAATCCCAGCACGTTAGGGATTGGAA